CGTCACATAAAATTACCGGTATATTATTTAGAAAAAAAACTCCTTACTTATAGTCTATTAAAATATATTATTTTTGCATGTATGTTATATAAAATGTAATTTTCAAAGGGGTAAGTTGTTGTAGAATTTGTTTTTATTGTCTTTTTTGCACAATTTACTACAAAAAGTGAGCATTTAGGCGGAAAGTATTTAGACTTTTATCTACATTGTTTATGACGTCACAGTTACGTTACATCATTGATTCGACGTAATAGAAAACTGTCACAGCACTGTACGTTATTTGAACTGTAAAACTGTACAACAGCGAAAAGGTTAAGGGGTCCCAACCCTTTGCTATAAATTTCACCTTAGAAAAGTTTTAATTTGTAATATTGATATATATATATGAATTATGTTATTTTACTTTGGCTCTATTATTGTTTCCTCTAATAGCATTGTGACGTCATTGAATTGTTGTTGACGTTATCAACAGGTAACGTTATTACGTCACATTTTTGAATCGTTTTCAAATGTAAAACGTCTGAAGAAATAATGAAGAAAGCGCTTACGTTTTACTAACATTGTTGCCTTGTCAAAAATTTTTTTCTAATATTAATTACCGGACACTGTGATATTTCTTTCATTTTTATATATATATATATATATATATATATATATATATATATATATATATATATATATATATATATATATATATATATATATATATATATATATATATATATATATATATATATATATATATATGAAAAAGAAAATGCAGTTTCCAAATTTCATTTAACACAAGCGCTTTCTGGATTTCATAATCCGTGTTCAGGTGTACATAAATTGAACTGATTGTTTTGCTTGGTAACTTGGTAACGTTGATTATGACGTCATGATGCCATGAGAGTCTTTGCAGGGAAGGAAGAAATCTATGACGTCATAGTAAGGCTACATTATGTAAATGTTAGGGAAAATCAAATTAGACAATATTGGACAATAAATCATATTTTTTTTTCAGTCTCAATAAACAAAGTAAAAAGAAATTCTAATCGCTGGTATATAGAAAAAAATAATTTCTCAATCTTAATGTTTCTTCAGTTTTGGTGAGAACAGATTTATGACGTAGTTTTCTTTTGCTAATCTCATTGCAGCGGAATTGTTCCTAAGTTTATAAAAGGGTAACACACAGTAGTTTCCTTGTGAGCAAACATCGAAATGTTCACTGCATGGCGTGTTTCTGAGGCTCGGATTGTTAATTTGTTGGCGATGTACGCACATTCGGGCGGTTAATTGGGTCCCAGTCTGGCTGATGTATTCCTCTCTACAGTTGTTACACGTAATACAAAAAAGAGGTTTTTGCTCTTACAAGTCATATTTTCATTCACAAGAAATGTTTTCCACACTTGAAAATAATTATAGAAGATCCTGTTCGGAGATTAGGACAGGTACCGCATATCGAATCACCGCAACTTGTTACGGAATATTGTTCTGGAATTGTGTTGAATTTAGCTCTGGTCAATAGTCTTTTTTTAAATTTGGGGGTTGTCTTTGTCTGCGAATCAAATCCGATTTCGATGTAAGTTGTTGAAGATCATTATTCCGTTCAATGATTGTAAAATTCTTTCTTGCTTCTTGAAATATATTATTGTGTTTCGGATTGAATGTTGCTACAAAAGGGATTAAGAATGGATCTTTGTCCTTTTTTCTGGTTGTTCTTAAAATATCCTGCGGAATTTTCTTGGATTATTCTATGGCAGAAAGAATAAGATTTTCTGGATAATGTTGTGCTAGAAGAATTGTTTTTAGTTCGGTCAACCTTCGATTTCTAGTTTCTCTATCTTTCACAATCAAATAGTGAAAACTAGATAAATACGCTAAATATTAACTCCTTTATACAATATATTTTTCTCAATATCCGAAAAAATATTTGCAATTCATGTGTAGAGAGTGTCCTAAATGCTCTTTTGTTCTCATCAGTCACACTATGTCGGTTACAATTAATTACAGTAAGTCTGTAAATTCTTCATCTCTAATTTGAGAAATAGTGGTAGATCAACATTTCATAGTTAATATCATATGTGTCTATTTTTAGACAGTTTTACTATTTATAGATATGAGAGCCTTTTCTCAATAATTTTTGAGTTTTTATATTATTCCTTGTTCTTATTGATGAAATAGTGGAGGGATCCGTATGTTTATCATTTATGATTCAGTAGAGCTTGTAATTGATGGAATATTGACATTTTTCAGTATTTAATGAGACATGTTTATATTTAGGCATTTCAAGCTATAAATAGAAAACGAAAATCCCAAAAAACAATATGCCTAGTAGCTCTTATTGTCCAGTTTCTGTCATAAGCATATTGACTTTTACAGTATATTTCATAATTACCTAGCAATGGCGTCTTAAATTGCGCCCAAATTTCATTTTTTTGATTTTTCTGAAGAATGCCTATTTTTTTATACAAGTTACTTAAAATAGCATTAAGATCCCATACCAATTTTTTTCACAAAGAGACACTACTGATATTGACGTATGACGACACGCATAATATTTTAAAAAAAAATCCGTAGACAATTGTTTTTATTTAACCTCAGATTTCTCAAAAAATGCCACTTTTCACATTTTCAGAAAGTATGCCATATTGCAGGACCATTTTCTAAAAGCGGGGTTGATTCTAGAATATATAACTGATTATATGCCCTGTATTTCTTAACAGTTGATGTTTTCCTATGATAAAAAGAATTATACATGCATTTGAGTTTACTACATAAAAACAAAAATGCAGTTATATTTCCTCAATTTTGTTTTGGTCAAAATGGCCAAAAATGGCCAAATTAAATGGATCCGTCTCCATAGCAACCGGGTGCACGTGAGAAACTTCTAGTACCATATTTGCTGGTTTTGCACCAAGGTGCACCTGTGGTGCAAATTTCATAGAAATCGGAGATATGTCGTTTCTAAGCCCTATAGTAAATTTTTTGTGCTTACAGAGAATGCATGTTAAACATCAAGTTTTTATCTTATATCTTTCGCGTCACAATTAGTTTAAAAGTCTGTTACAATGTTTTGAAACACTTTTGAAAACATTTTAAAAAACACTTCAATGGTAAGAAATTGTTGCTCGTCGCAGAGTACTATCATCTAAAATATTCTGAATCATCCTTAAAGCGATTCACTTACGTTCCCTAGGATGTTGACAATAAGGCTGTGTGATGATGCACTGCCAAATCCTCGGATCTGAATCCTATTGAGAACACTTGGGAATGTAATAAGGAGTGTCAAATCTAATAATGAGTGTCAAATTCCCCAAACAATTTCACCTGTTTAGGGAAAATCAATGCAATAATTGTGGCACAAACAGGTCAATCTCATAATCAGGGAGACATGATATATATGACAAAAGAATGCCGTGCAGTAATTAGGGCGAGTAGTGGTCTGACTCCATAGAAATTATTTCATGTGAATTTCATTTTGATGGTACGTCATGACCTGGACACTTTGTCTAAAATTCTGACGATATACTTACATGATATTTACGCATCAAACTGAAATATGCATCATTTACCATGAATTCTTAATTGTATGTATTTGTTCTTTAAAAAAAATAAAAATGTTACGTGAAAACTTAGAATTTTGGTTCAGTGCAGATATCCCCGAGAATATGGCATAAAGGATACTACAGATTATGTTTAATAATCTTGGTGTCTTAAAGCTTGAAGCTTAAGACAGTAAGGGTAAACAAGGAACAATGTTGAATCACTTTAGGTTTTCCATCTTCAACTTTCTTTGTTCATGCAATAATATTCCAGCATCGCCTGAACGTGGTATTTCTGTCTCCCAACTTATTTGATATTCAAGAGCATTTTCTGGTTGTGATCATTTTTAATAAGAAAGAGGCAAGCTTCTATAGATAAGGTGGTGATAAGATTTTAACAACTTCGTAAAGTGTCAGCATTTCGTAAATTCCCTGGTCATTATTATTACTTTTTTTTTAAATAAATATGTCATTTCACTAAATCCTTCTTTGTAGCGTGTGATACTGGTTGTTGATTTTGTAGATCGGTTTATATTCATTATCTTCATCCTTTTCATTAAAAATATCAGAAAAGCAGAAAGAGTAAAATTTTTGGTAATTTCTGATAATGAACAGTGGCAAAGGCATAATCACTTAGATCAGCGTTAAGGTCCATGTGCATATGCTACACGTTTACTTGATTCAAAAGCAATAGAGTGTTTAGATAGATTCTGTACCTTTGAATTTCAGTTGAATTAATATTTTCACTGATATAGACTTTGATAAGGATATGAAAAACTAAGGAATTTAATATGATGATAGTACGAACCTTACGTCCAGGCAGAGTAATTCAATTTTGTTTTTGATGGGGATCTTCAAACTACACGTACAATTGGTATCTGTATAGACTCTGTCTGAACAGAGCGAATTTTAATCAAAAATGTTTAATCAACTACACGTACAATTGGTATCTGTATAGACTCTGTCTGAACAGAGCGAATTTTAATCAAAAATGTTTAATCTACTTTTTGTTTGCTTTATATATCCATTAAAATCGTCTGCTTCTAGGCAAGTTTATTTCTATCTTGGAACTTCTTGTTACCACGAGAACGTAGTTTGAGGCGAGATCCATGGCCAATTTGTTAAGGATTATGGGGCCAAAGGTAACTGCGAACAGAATGTTTCGATGAATGTGCAAAGTCTGAATTTTAATTTTTCTTCATTCAAATTGTTTTAAGAGCTCGCAGTGACGCGTAGCGCTTGGTGCTGCTCGCTATGATAAATGTAAGTTTACTTAATATTTGCATGTAATCAGTCACGTACGTGTAATATGGTATGGAACTCAGGCGCCCAGTTCTTAAACATGATTATATACATGTTTAAAAATATGCTCAAAGGTACAATATAGATCATATCTTTGTAAGATATAAATTTTTTTGATAAATGAACGTTCAATCGGAATTTAATGTACTTATCAAGAAGATCCTTTTCAATCAGATCCAGCTTGCACACAGATAAACAAAGATAAACGTTGTTTTCTTGCTGATCCAAGATGTGCTGAACGTAAGTTGGTTGAAAACATATTACAAGATGTCGATAATTCAAAATTAATCTTATATTTAATCATTAAAGATATAAACTATTTTACATTATTTTCCTGGCACTCTAACTTAGATTAAAAAGTTTTTTTATCATTATAAAACTCATACATGAAGGAAATGTATGATCAAGTGACAAGTAAATCAGTTTCTATTATACATTAATCACCCCAGCCTTGCCCAAGAAAAGATATAAATGAAAAACACAAAATTAAATAATATTCAGCAGAAGTTACTCACAGATAGTATTATTCCAGAGCGAGATGCAGACCATTGGACAATGAAACAAACATAATTTTACGAGGGTTGTTTGGTAAAAGCATGACCATTTGTCAGGAGTGAAAAATGATCATCATTGCGTCCTAAAATTTTCACTACTCTTTGGTAGATTCTTCAGCAATATTCATGGCAATTTGCAAAGTCATCTTAAAAAAAAGGAGACTGCCTATCTCCTGAAATTTATTTCTTTTCAGCGAAGCAAAATATAAGTATTGTCGAAAAAATTATTGACAATTATTGCGATTTTTTTCAAAACATTTTTTTTTTTCATTTTTTAACTTAATATTTTTGCAAAAAATCTCGCTCATTGAAGGTCGCCAGTACTGCGCACTGACCAGAGTTAAAATGTCATAAAGTGTTGAATTTAAAAAAAATCCGGAAATAATATGCAGCCTTTACAGAGGAAATAACTAGACATTATTTAACTTAGTGATTTATTTATTAAACTCTAACTTGCAAAGATATAGGATTTTACATTTTTATCTCCAAATAAGTTTGAGATAAATAGCGATATTTAAATATTTTTTAACCTGTCATTTGAATTTTTTGGTGAAACCTTTCTACCAAATTTGACGTCAAGTTAAAAAAAAAGGATGTGACAATTGACCACATTCTTTCTCATTAAACCTTGTTCATAGCGGAGTTGTATTTGTAAATTCGATTACTTTGATAATAACTTAAAAAAAAGGTTCGCAAAACTTTTAAAATTACTTTTAAAATTACTAACACTGCTCATCCCTTTAAGCTGTTGATGGAGGTTGGTCACCATTCTCCTTTTTCTGGACACCATGTACAGCAACGTGTGGAGGTGGCATACAATCAGGACAAGAGGTGCGTACCTGTACAAATCCTCGTCCCTCCGGGAACGGCATAGATTGTAAAGGATCAAGCTTTGGAAGTAAATCCTCGCGGTCATGTAATACCCAGCCTTGTCCAGGTAAAGATGTATACTACAAATAAACTCTCTCACGTATCTGTTGAACATGTAAACTATAGAGAAAACATATTAAGGGCAGTTTTTTTCGTTAGAAAATATTGTGAAAAGGATTGTGAAAATTTGTGAAAAGGATTGTGAAAATACAGTAGTTTGAATTCTGACTAATCAATTTTATGCATTGAAAGTTGACGGAAATTGGTCAGCATTTGGTAAATACAGCGAGTGGAATTTATGCTCTGTTACCTGTGGTACGGGGATACAAAGTAGAAGTAAAACAAGGGAATGTGATAATCCAACGCCACAGTATGGAGGGGAAAATTGCATTGGGACAAGCACACTTACTGAAACAAAGACATGTGTTATGAGTCCTTGTCCAGGTACATGTGTGATATTAGGCATTTCTTTTAAAGTATCTGTGAAGTAATTGTACTTCTAAAATTAGATTTCATAATTCCTTATCAGAAATAAATACATAGATCTATATCAAAGTTGATGGTCATTGGTCTGAATTTCTTCCTTTTGGTGACTGGAGTCAGTGCACTGTCTCATGTGGTAATGGAACTCAAACGCGTGTGCTTTTTCGCACATGTTCTCAACCAGCCCCTCTTTATGGTGGTAATCCGTGTGAGGGACCTAGTGCACGAAAAGAAAGCAAACCATGTACACGCCCTTTTTGCCCAGGTAAAGAATTTAGCTACTCAATAAACTGTTGTTTCATTTTTTTTATACGATGATTGATAGTTTTTGGCTTAACATACGTTCAAGTTTTTGTAACCCTCTTTACCTCCTCCTTCATCAACTCATAAAGTCATACTTTTTATAGCACTCACATTATGTGACTTGCTGTGAATTAAGATAATACAAAAATAGAAATTAGGAAAATTTCCTGAAAAAAATATTATTTCCAGAGAATCATTCGAATGTATTCCGTTTTTGTTCTTTTGCTACTGAATAAATAAATATAGATTTCTCATTTCTTTTTTTTCAATTATATAAGTTCCTGGGGGATGGTCACTTTTTGGTCCATTCAATGAATGGACACAATGCACGACAAGCTGTGGAGCTGGACATCAGGAAAGAACCCGAAATAGGACATGCAACAACCCCGTACCGCGACACGGGGGCAGAGACTGTGTTGGATTGAGCTTCTTTAAAGAAGAAAGGACATGCAACATCAAGTCATGCCCAGGTCTGATAATCACCTTTTCATAATGTTTTTAGGAGTAAAAGTTATGTATCAGCTGAACAAATGCATTAAAAAATATGTATTATTGAAATGAATTAAAATGAGAAATTTAACTGCCAGACGATAAGTTCGGTGTGTCTCTATGAGTATACTTTAAAGAAACAATAAAGTAATATAACCATCAAATTTATATGAACAATATTTCCAAGTTGAATTTGAATTCTATACAAATTTACAATGAACACTCTCATGAGGTCGATCCATAAGTATATCTACTTCACAGAAAAGTATATTGACCGAAAAAGAAGTGAGAGATCGACATGTTTTCTTTGAGGTCCATATATTATGGATAGATCGATAAAGGGACTACGTTTGCTAACTTTTTTGATGAGATAAAAACAACAAATTTTATTTTATTTGTTTGATTTTTGTTTTCACTCATACAGAGACACCCCCCACTTGCCGGCGGAAAACTGCAAATTTACTCTATATACTCGGCACTCATTGCAGTGAGAGATCTTAATCTCGCGACACGATACTTTGGTTTATATGGTCTTATCCGAAGGACCGGTCTCCACGTCCCAAAAAGATTCGAACCTTCGACCTAAGGATCAACTCTGTATTTCACGACTTTAGCGCAGACGCCTTAACAACTGTGCCACGCGGTCGAATAAATACTTTTTTTCATTTCTATTTTAAAACAATCTACACTAGATATCATAACAATATATGCAGTTTAAATTACGTTAAGTACCCTTTGTACTTAATGAACAATATCGGAATTGTTCAAAATTGAAATGCTAAATTTGATAATGATTTATTTATATGAATTTATGCTTAATATATTACACATAATTATATGTTATCAATGTACAGGGTATCCACACTCAGTGGATTGTTACATTTTTTCCAATTGTGACGTCAAAATTACAAATAGGAGTTGGCGTATCAAAGTTTTTAAATGTTGATAATTAGAAAGTCAAGGTCTATATGCATTCATACGCATTGAAACGTAATGCCGAACGAACCAATGACAAATCGCGTTGAAATGATTGTATGAAAACAATATTCATTGATTTGACTCTAAATACTACAGTTTTATTGCAGTACATGGGGACTGGTCAGAGTGGGGTGATTGTTCTGTTACTTGTGGTGGAGGGATTCAACAGAGTGTAAGGACTAAAGCGTGTAACAATACAGAAATACAAAGTGGAGAAAAGCGTTGTATGGCTTCTAAAGAGGAAAAAATGGAACGCAAATGTAATACTCAGATCTGCCCAGGTAGGATATCGATTTTTTCCTTTCTTTTTGAAATTAAAAATATTTTTGTAAATATTTTTATCGGTCATTTAATGTATGAACTTGATGATTCTTACCGTGAAATATGAATTAAAGTTACAAACTTGAATCATTCCTCAAATGCCAAATAAAACTGAATAAGTAATTATCATCTTAGTGGAATTAATTGTAATTATGTGTCTCTTCTATGAAAAAAAAACTGTTGCATGATCTTTTTTCGTGGTCAAAATAAACAAGAGAAACTCGCATTAAATGAAGGATTTAAGGAATGGCATGACGATTCGTACAAAGGACGAAAGTAATCATTCGATCTTAAAACACACTGTATAATAAATTAAGGTTAAAATTTGTCGAACATAGCTTAATCAAAATTCTAATTGTCAACAAGATTATTTTTACCGACGTATCACCACTTTACTTGTCAGATGTCTCATATAAAGAACATAATCTCGCCTCAAATTAACTAAAACATTATTCCCATCTCCAAGTAATAAAAAACATTTTCATACAAACGAGGGAATTTGACATTATAAAGGATGTAACTTTTTTCATAGCGTTTAATTGTGAATTTCCAATTAATGTGTTTCTCCAGTTAATTATTTAAATATGAAACACATTTTTAGTTCATGGCCAATGGTCGTTGTTTTTTCCACATGGGGACTGGAGTCGGTGTTCATCTTCTTGCAATAATGGAACTAAAACACGAGTAAGAATCCGCTATTGTTCTGAACCGGCTCCATTGTATGGGGGTAAACCGTGTGTTGGCCAGAGCATGTCCGAAGAAAGCAAGGCATGTAACACACAACCATGTAGTGGTAAGATAAATGTTTATTATATATGATTCTCTGAACTTTAATCCAAAATTATCTTGCTTTATATGATTTTTTTGTAGAGATAGAAGTATTTTTTTTAACAAATTTCAATAATTATAGTTGGTGAAAGCAGACATGATCTGACATTTCCATACAACTTTGTCAAAACATGATCTACTATATATTTTTTTTTTCAAGCTGAATTTTTTAACAGTTAATTAAGGTTGTGTTTTGTAAAACTAAAATCTTTAAAAAGCCAAGTTAAGAAAAAAATGCTTAGCTTATTATACGTTTTTTGTACTACTTGTATTTAGTCGTATATGTAAATCTGTTTACTCAGTAAAATTTATTTTATTTTTTGATGTTCATTCTTTGCTTAATACTTTATAGTCTTAAAATGAAGATTTATTTGATAAATATTCTTACTACAGTTGATCTCAAATATTTTCTTTAAAAAAAATTACCATAAAGAAAATGTTAACAAAGCTGTGGTCATTCGCAAATTTTTTGAAGCGTAAAAATTAATCAACAGCATTTTTAGCCAAATTCGCAAAATAAATCGGCGTAAAAATTGACAGATTTACAGTATAAAGACGAAAGATTAAAAAAAAAATGCTGTGATTGTACGGGGTTTTTGAAATACAAATATAAAAACAGATTGCCTAGTATCTTAAAGTTTTCGTTTACATCTTACATAAATCTCTGTGTGTTTTAGAAGAAAAACACCTTCTGTAACATACTAAGGCATATGACATTTTTGAGTTAACAATAAGGGTTTCTAAGACACGCTTATGTCGACAATGTGTTACTATATGGAGCATGAAAACAATAAAGCCAAGTCCAAACTAACGGAATCAAAATCGTGCATTATCCATTTCTTGAGATTCTAATGAAATGAATACTTTTTTACACTTGGTTATTTATTGTAATCTTTTCGAAGCTTTAATTGATATTGTTTTAGCAACACAAATACCCCTGTACACAGTCAAAGATGGGTATTGTTCATAAATTCCTAAGGATGAGAACCGGGATACACCGTGTCTTGTACATATGATTTAGAACAGATGCTACAAACGAAAAAGAAATGTCTCATCGGTGTTAACTTTATTTTGGACGTTATTGGTTGTTAATGATAAGAATATTACATTTTTTTAATCAATAAATTGTTAATATTCTATGATGTTCAAAATTCTATTTTCTGGAATCATCCTATTATTATATGTAATTTTTTTACACTTTAAATCAAATCATTGCTAACATTTGGAGAAAAAAAATTATGCAGTAAAATATATTCATTGGCATTTTGAAAGGATTTTCATTATCTTTTTTTGTAACTTCTTTTAAACTTTTGATTGCGTCATCTGTCCATAATATGAATAGATCATGATTTATCAATCAAAATACATACTAGTATCGCATTACAGAAAGATTCCTTTGATGATATTTTGGAAAATAAGTAAATATAAGTAATACTTTTCCTTCGCCAAAAAAGCCTCAACATTTTAACTTTATTCTATTATTATGATTTCACGTATTCTGATATTAAAATACTTCAAGCAAAACTTTTATTGTAATTTTTAGAAAAAGGAAACCAAACGCCGACAACAACTATCATTATTGCTTTAATGTCATCAAGCCTAATTTTACTTGGTGGTCTTCTAATATTCTTTTACCGTCAATATAAAAGAACGTCCAGAACAGAGTCTTTACCGCAGCCACAACCAGAAATTTACGAGGAAATTAATAGTATGGATATAATGAACAACATCTACGTCCCATCATACGCAGAATACATGCTTAATCCACAACTGCTGAACAGACCAAACCCTGGAAGTGCACTCCCTTCTCTCTTCATGAACATTCCCCGATTCGGATCTACTCTGACCCCTATCAATAATGATTGCCAACTGAGTGAAATAATCGGGCTCCGAAAAAACGATGAAATCAATGAAATTATAGTTCAGGACCAATCAAAATTGGCAATCTGCTCAAGAAATGCATTCGAAAAAAAGAATGATGACCAAGATGAATATTTTGACGTTGCAAATACTATTACAATGGAATCTCCTGTTGACGGGTATGAAAAACCAATGTTAAAAAGCAGGAACAGCTACATAACTGTTTTACCAGATGAATCTAAGGAACTGGAAGAAACTGCAATGAAAGATCAAGAAGATTACTTGGATTGCTGTCATGACATTGAAAAATCAGGCAAAAAATTAAGATCATCAGGTACATGTAATTTTGATAGAAAGATGAAAGAAGATGAACTTTAAAGAATCAAATATTACAGAATCGAGAGCAATGTGAATTAGATATTGTTAAATTAATGGACACCTAAGTAAACGAGATATATAATTTAAAATGTTAAATAACAATTTCATTATCAATAAAAAAAGATGCAAAGAAGCATGTGCTAATGGAATATTATAGAAATGCAATATCTGTCAAATGTCCATACAGTACATTGTATCAAATCAATGTGTTAAATGCGTTGCGTCAACATCATCGTACTTACTTTTCTTACGAGATCTATAGTATTTTAAAACTAACATTAATTTCAAACCTCTGCGTTTATTCAGGATTTTTATCCTTTGTCTTTATTCCCTGTATATCATTTGTAAATAATTGTTTTTTCAACATAAAATTTGTTTTAATATTGCATATATTAAAATATTTTTTTTATGCGGAGAAAAGTCGCATGCTATTAGAGGATATTTAATGAAAAGGTACAAGTGAACCTATCTGATCAAGCTGTTTTGATTATCTTTCTTAGTCTGTTAATATACCCCGTTTACAACTTCTTCCACCGGTCCTCTTTTTTCAAATCACTTGGAGAGAAAAAAT